GCATATCTTTCGAATGACGGTCGCGTTGAATGTGATTTCAGCCTGTTCAACGACAAACTGGATAGCGTGAAATATTTAGGAATTGACTTCGTGGTAGGGTTGACACCTTGATTATAAACACTGCTTTTTGTGCAATAAAACGAACAGTGTATATAATTCTCGCTTTAATTCATATATTGTTTTTTTAATAAATGATAGCAAGTGAAGGGACGAACAAGTCGTGCGCCTGATGGTAAGCGATACGCCTGTCGATAACAGTTGCAGTGCCACTCAGAGCTTTAAAACACAAAGATCTGAGGGGCACTGCCACTGCGCCCGTCGCCTCATGTGCCTGTAATTTCACCAGCACCCTTAGCCTTCTAAATCGGAACGCAGTAATGCTGATATTACTACTTGGCGGCAGAAATAGGTAAGGTGGCAGTACTTCCCTCGACGAACTCTTTCACAAGGAGCTCTACTGCTAGGTATAACTCATTTAATCCTCTGCCTATCTATACGTGATATTTATGCGGGACACGTGAGTTGAACTTTAAGTGGGAAGCCATGTCCGGACATTGGGAACTGAAGAGACGTCGTTGTTCGGCGTCGGGAAGTGAGCGTGCTTTACAGCTCCGCCAGCAATGAGGAGATTTGGTAATGGACTTTAGAGTCGACGGAATCTGGAACATAGGGAGGTTACTGTACGTGCACCCGGCTCACACGAAGCACTAGCCTCTCGAGGACCGGATGAAGTTAAATGACAGATATCTGTGACAAGCCTGTACACTGGCTGATCTGGGATCAGAACCTTAAGCTACCTGTGCACGCACAGGTTATAGTGCCCTTCTCGTATACCCTAAGGGTCGGTAGGTAAACAAAACTAATGTAGAAAGACATGGGGCTGCCTCTATACGTCCCACTGCCCCACAGGTTCCGCACAAGCGAGGGTTTAGGACTTCACACGTTTTCCAAGGATTGTGAGCCTTTTTCGATGTGCAGGCTTAGAATAATAACGCATAGAATGATAGTTTCATATCAATCGAACTGTCACAAGTGAGACAAAAAACAAATTCATGTAGGCTAGTTTTAGTAGTACGTTAATTTTCGGTTTTAGTGAATATTGTGATGTTAGTATCTATTTTATGCTTGTCTAACGTATTTTTACACTCATTTACCGCATATTTCGTCATTTTTAGCTAAAATTTTTGAGCTGTTCGCGGTGCAAGTTGACCTTGAGCACTGAAGGGTCGCCCTTTTGTGTAGGCCCATTGGGAGCGCTTAATTTGCCTCACTTAGCGTGTGCGGACTAGGTTTCTATGCGTTATTATTCTAAGTGTGCAGGTTTCATCACGATGTTTTCCTTCGCCGAAAAGGTAACTTACAAATTAAATTTTGCACATAAATTCCGAGAAATTCAGAGTTGCGAACTTCTGCTTGAGAAGTAGTAGGACAAACCATTGGGCTACCACGGCAAAATAATTCTCTCACTCATTTATTTGTGTAAAAAAGTACGTCGTTAGTGAAGATCTCTCTCTTCAGTGCGTTTTGCACGTCATTGTACACCTACGTGTGCAATTCAATAATGCGTTTAGGGCGTTATTGGGGCTGCCCCGCTCCTGCAGCGCCTCGGGTATGTTCGCGGCGGCATGCACTGATTGCTTCTACACAACGATGTGCATCACAGGTGCGCTGAGTGCGGGCCAGCCCCAATTTCGTCCTGGCTATGACAGCTGGCAGGTTAGATTGCCCCGATATTCGGCATTGTTGTGATAATCATGCCCGCTATGGTGCCGGTTATGGAGGCAATCGATGTAGACATCAATAAACTATGTACGTGTAATTTTAATTGGAATTTTGGTTTTATTTAATTTTATTTCAATTTTATTTTATTATATTTAATTTTTATAACCTTTTATTATCCTTTTAATTTTGATTGTAGTAGTTTAGTTAACTATAGGTATCACTTATAAATCAATTTCAATATAGGTAATTAATTTTGATATGGGTCATGGTCGCCCGAAATAAATGATTTTTATTTATTTTATTATTTTTATTACCCTTGGAATATGAAGTCACATATACTGCCTCCATAGTCTAACGGTTGCTATACTGGACTGCTACGCAGAGGTTCCGGGTTCGATTATCTCGCCGGTACAAATATTTGTTTAGCCTACATTTGTTTATCTCGTGAGTTTGAGTGTAATTTGTGGTTGTGTATAAGTGTGTCCATGGTACGGTGACACAAGGTTTTTCAAGTGTGAGGCTATGCGTGTGTGTGTTATTATTATGTGTCGTATTATACGTGATATACATACGTCAAAAGTGTTAAGTCAAATTAATTATTCAATTATATGCACTAATAAACTAACTTCCGGTTAAAAAACCGACCTCAAAATTCATCCCTTAGTTTGCCACCCTTAGAGGTGGAATATTTTCTTGAAATTAAATGGTACCACATCTGAGGTACCTTCTATCCAATAAAAAAGAATCATCAAAATTGGTTCACAAATGGTGGAGTTATCGCGTAACATACATACAAAAAAAACATACAGACGAATTGAGAACCTCCTCCTTTTTTTGAAGTCGGTAAAAAAAATAGTACCAATTACATGAAACAAATTATATATATTATGTGACATTTCATGTACTTAAAATAAATTTGAGTTTGTCGACAACCCTAAAGTTAAAAGGGTGCTGTTATCGCTCGGTGGACACCCCATTATCATTCGAAAGTGATATCAATTACTTGTTTGTGCCTTCGCTCTTTTTATACTCCTTTTTGAACTTTACTTCGAGGGAAGGCATATAAATATACTGATATTTAATAAGTTTGCCACGAAAGCTTAGGGTTGATTCTTATTGGTCAGCACGTATATTTGGCGCTGAGTAAAAGTCAAAGTCCAATAATCTTTTCATCATACTTGCTTGTAAATAGTACTATTTCATGGTGGCTAACTTAACTAATGAAACTATTTTTCCGGATTTAAATCGCGTATATTTGTTTTTTCAAACAAACCGACGTTTCGGGCCCTTTACAGGTCCCATGGTCACGGTTGACTGAGGTGGTACAGTCTTCAACCAGTTATGTCTAATATTAAAGCAAACCACCCTATTTTTTCACTATAGTTACAATAGTTATTAATTAAATACCTTATTTTTAATTTTACAAAGAAAACATTCCAATTTACGCTACATTAAGTTTTACAAATTATTTTATTGAATGAATTTTTATTAAGTTTAATTTATTATTAATTATTAATAGAAATTAGAATAAACTAAAACATATTAATTAGTACTGCAGTCTTATGTCTGTTTGGGATTTTTCATTAGAGGAAATACTGGATCCCAAACTGGTGGTACGGAGAAACCATCTTCCCTGTTGAAATTAGGATGTTTTTAAATTTCAATGGCCTCTCGCAGCATCCTGGGTAGATAACGGACTTCTTTTGCAAGTACCTGGGGTTTGTCAAACTTCATTGAATTTTGACAAACCCCCTATGACGCCCTATTAACTATATATTTATATTAACTATAAAGCCCCAAATAAAACCCTCGAGCCTTTTTTCTTCCCATTACAGCTATGGTCGGTAAGGATATTTTTTTAATTTGTAGCACGTCATACTTCCTTTCCAAGTTCAAGCAAGGAGGTTAAGTTCAAAATTAAAACATTCGCTTAAAATGTTATCTAAACAGAAATTTCATTGCAATTCAGCCACATACATTTAACTGCCTCTGTGGCCGAACGGTTACCATGCCGGACTGCCACGCAGAGGTCCCAGGTTCGATTCCCGGGCCGGGAGAAATATTCGTATGACCTACATTTTGTTTCTCTCGTGAGTTTGGGTGTAATTTGTGGTTGTCTATATGTGTGTCCATGGCACCCGCGATACAGGGTTTCCCTAGTGCGGGGCTATGTTGAGTGTGTGTGTTTAAAAAAAAATACTAAGAATTTCTTATAATTGATCTTAACTATTTTCTGTATAAAATTTTTGTAATTTTTTTTTACCATCCATTATGACTGTATTCGTCTTTGGTTATTACAACATTTTAGTTCGAGTTGTATATCTACGGAATAGCCAGCTGGCCATCACTTGACAAAAAAAAGCGCCATAATTCATACAATAAATAAACATTGCATATATTTCCTCGCAAACGTGACGAAAAACATTGTATATATCATGGACGGTAATAATATAAATCTCGGGTTATTAAAACCTTCAACTTAGGGCTTCTAATATACCCTTGTTAGTAATTTGTTATTTATCATCTTTAATGTACCTACTATTATTTTACAGGTAAACAGATTATACTTATACTCGTCATATTGGTTAAACTGTCTGCTCATTCGTGGGCCAGATTCTCCTGACAAGAATGAGCAAGAAGCTCTAGGGTTTGCTCTTTGTGAATAAACATTTGTGTACATTTATCATTTACAATACCGTATAATATGCTCCGGGGTTATGGATTGAAATAGATTCAAGCAATAACTCAAAGCAGTTTTTCTTATATCGCAATACAGTTATTTCTAAGTAGTGGAAGAAATGTTTAGATAGAACGTCTTTCGCATCGTAGAATCGCATGTCGTAACATTGAATAGGTTTTGCGAGTACAATGGGCACATTTCCTTTTGCAAGGGATTACTTGAGTGTGTAGCTTCTGTGACGGAGTATTTTTAACCAAACATAAATACAATACAATAAAAACTTTATTAGCAGTAGAGCTCCTTGTGAAAGAGTTCATCCAGTACTGCCAGTTTACCTATTTCTGCCGCCAAGCACTAATGTCAGCATTACTGTGTTCCGGTTTTGCAGGTTAAAGGTGCTGGCGAAATCAGAGGAGTTTAAAAACGCTGGCTTCCATGCAAATCGCAAAAATTATGTAACTTAAATTATAAGAAAAGTTCAATTGATTACGGACCTCTTTAACGTGGTGTTGTTGGTTCCTGTCTGACTTAGATTACGAATGCGTTCCACGTGTTAAACCTAACTTCGTCATTTGAAAAGGTAATGAAAGATACTTACATCTATATAGGAAGCATTAATATAATCGGAGTCAGGCTCCCGGTCTATCGTTTCTAGCACCACTCTGTTGTAGTCATCTGTAACAAAGTATGAAAATTAGATTGTTACGAAGCATCTATTCTGTAGCTAAGTCTATTCTGACACCACAGAATAACCTGGGCCCACGGAACTTGGAAGACAGTAACCCTAATGAAAAAGTTTGTCCAGGGAAGCACTGCCACCTTACTTATTTATGCCACTAAGGGGTAATGTGACCATAACTACGTTTCGGTTTTAAAGGGTAATATATATAGATAGGATAGGCGTGCGTTCTCGACCAGGCTCACGACAAGGTAATTTTTTTGTAAATTTTATTTGGTTAGTCAAAAACTAAGTGCACAATCTATTATAAACCGTCACTACATGCACATTAAATTATGGCAAAGTACTAAATGGAATTTACAAAAAGAAAAGTGTAAACATTAAGAAACCATTTAAGTGACTATAAAAAACAAAGAGTGAATTTTTTGTAAAAATAAGCAAAAGAATAAAAAAGGAATAAGTCGAAAGTTTTACGAAGGTTGCCGAGAAGTAGTTAAGTCGATCATTGCTCTAAGACCGTTCAACTGGCAAAGTCTAGCAATGTGAGAATGCGAGCCCAAAATATTATTGCATTTCATTGCATTCCGGTCCGTCGTAATTTACATTGCAGCGGAACAGAATGGAAGCTGTTTATTTTGTGACGAAATAATACTAATGAGCTTTATGCCAATTGCGTTACGTACAAACTAGATACGATACGACAGCTGCAGGAATTTCCGCGACTCCCCAAGAATTCTCCAAAAGACGCTCGACCAGTTTCGTAACTCTTATATAGTTAGTACAATAATAGACACTAGTTCATTATGCTATGGTTACAAACATTTGGTTTCATTCCATTTCACAGTAATGTAAATTGAGCCTTAGGTCAACTTACTTAATATACATACTTTCCAGAACGAGGAAAAATTACATTATATGGACAAGAATACAGACTTAGTAGGTATTGTAAGAATTTATATAAGTGCATTCTGTGAAGAGGCAGTAAGGGTAAGTATTTTTTAATTTTAGCTCGCATAACAATGAAGTAGCCGGAGTTGTCTACATTTTTGTTTAGACTAGTAGTTATATTACTAACGTAGTGTATTTGGAAGAAAAGTTTTGTTATTGTAAGTAAAAACATACTATTCTGTTTCGATTGTTTGTCTTTTCTTTTGAAATTGTCAAGGCTTTCAAAGGAAGGTATTTATTTAAATAATTTCCTTTTGCTGCATATTTCATCAAACCCAGTGCCCGATAGTGGAGATCCGTGTAACAACCAAGCCGTATGCGCTTTGCGTGCGTTTGTGTACAAAACGGTAATAAATGGTGGTTCCACCCAGCTATTTTATATCTGGCGTTTGTTGGTATACGTTAATTTTGCCGCTAACTGTAAGGACGTAATAATTTCATTATAATACCTATTGATTAATTCTGTATGCATTTTATTGTTACACGCTACTCCACACATATTAACAATTTATTATATTCTTTTATATGCTCTTAGTCTCTGTTGCCCCAAATTACTTTATTATAACGATCTTAGGGTGCGTACTAATTTTAGTTTCTATAAGATTGAAGTCACACTCAGTCAGTAAGGGCACCACTCTAGGTCTGACCAGTGCACGTCACACAACACCCGCGCGCTAGAACATAGTTTGTATGCAGAGGCTGATGCAACGCAGTGGTCTAACCAGCTCCTAGATCCCTGTACGTCATTTTTAAAAGTATAAGTGTCAGCTGACTCTCCAATCAGTTCGACATCCGCACACACCCGTCTTTGTTCATTGCAGTAATTAAGCATATCCTTCACGAATAACGCACAAATATCAGCATTCAAATCACCATGCAATTGTCCTCTATTATAGCACTTATTTTGCCTAAGCATTCAGTAAATAATGGCAAATTTTCCGCACAATAGGTGGGCACGTAAAGCGACATAATAATAATATTACGATTTAAAATTTTTATTGAATTGTTATTCAATTATTTTTCGTGAAATTACTCCACTAGTTTGTTATAATTATTAATACAAAGATCGAACACTCAGAAAAAATTCCTTCGATTCGGCCGGATACGAACCGACGTCTTCTAGCTTACCGTGGCAGACGCTATACCAACTAAGCCACGGAACGACATAATATTACGAATATTACGATTATCCTGCAGTTCTGCGCAGACCGCTGCGATGTGTTTCGACCCACTATCAATTACTGAACATATTTTTCTCCATAACAGCGCTACACCTCCATATGTTCTACCCTTCAGGTGTCCAAATGATGTGTCAACTGCAGATATTCCATGATAATCAAACTCTTGCCAGATTTGGCTTAAGAAGTCGAGATCGTTCGACGTAACCATAGCTCCTGTAGCGCAATTATGTCGTGCTTCTTACATAATTCTTGTACGTTAGGAAGGGACCGTTTGATGCCCTTACAATTAAAGAATATTATTTTTGTTGTAATTTTATCTATTTTAGCCATTTGTGTTGTTGTTCACTGTTCGGTCGTGGTTGTTTCTTTTATATACCAACATATTTTCTATGTAGGTACTATTCCGACCGGCCAGTATCCGTCGCTCAAGATTGTATTTATTTTGTCGGTTTCAATTGTCACTAGAAAAGAATTAGGCGATGACGCTTGGTAAGGTTTCAAATATTCTATGATTACAACAGACTCTCCCTTACTGATAATATATTCTTTTATGAGCTCAGGCGTAATTGTTTTCTGGGTTCGTGAAATGTATAAAGTGACGTCGCGTGGACCATTTCGTTTGACACTCCATTGCCTCTTCTATTTCTAATCATTTGCTTTTACTTTCGTTGATTTTTAGTTATTACAAACTCTATTATGTGCTACTTAAAGTGTATTTATGTAAAATAGTGTTAACGACATTCTTTGGTTGCATTCCCTTTCCAACACTTTATTATCTATTTTAAATTTGCTTAACACGTTAGCTGCCAAACAGACTTTAAAAAATGACAAGAATACGATAACTCTGAATTTTCTGTACATTCTATTGTAACGCCAAATACTAGTAAATAGACTTATTTACATAGTTCTAACTTGTATATAATTGCTTATTTAATATCAGCGGTCGGAATAATCATGTCATTGGCGCCACCCCGGTCACGCTGGCTTACATCCGCCTGTACTCTGGAAAATCCCACAATCCTTTCCAGGAAATCTCTCTTCTCTTGTAGCGCACCGTAATTCACTCTAGGTGAGGGTCGGTCAGTATATTATTTCGTGCACTCACTTGTTTACGCAATTATATTCTATTCAAATAGTGATATTTGATGAATAAATTTGAATATTGAAATACTCTTTTTCAAGTCTCTTTTTTTTCATTTTTTGTTGTCAAGTAAACTTAGTTCTTTTTTCAAAATTGGCATTGACATATCCTAAGTTTTTTACAAAATAATTCTATGTGTAATTGTATATGTATACACCATTCCAAATATTCACAACAAGTAAGATGACATTTTATCTTTACGACTCTGAAGTACCGTGCGTCACTTAGTAAGTTTAAATCTAGTGAAAACGTGCACGCTGGCGTAAAAGCATAAGTCAAACTGATGTGTGTGTCTCATGTTGGTCATCATTGTATGACGTGACCTCTATGGAACACTCACGGGCAGTTACCTTTTTCCGATATGGCAGTTAACGTGTTAAAATGAATTACTATTTAGCAATAACTCCGTCTGTTGTAGATTAGCTTATTCCGTTACACTTGCATTAATATTCTGTGTTGCCATTGTAATTAGTCTTTTTCTTAACTTTTCTTTGGTATGGAAACACTAAGAACTATGTGCTTCATTAAAACTTCGTGGTAGCTCAAGCCACCGTTCCAAGTTTTCCTTGCAACGGTTTATAAACAAATGTATTTCAACAAAATGAAAGCAACATTTTCTGTCAACGCCATCTGTTTTAAAACCGGAACCGTTCAGAACTTTTAGTTACTTTACGAACATTGGTAACTTTACAACAGCCGTAAATACGCCGTGTGGCTAGATAGTTACTAGCTACGAACTACGCTAACATAAAGATCGGAATTTTATAAAGAAAGTTCCTAAGAAAAGGCTTTAAAAAATCCCAATGTCGTTCCGCCCGTGCAACCATGCATCCGCAAATTACACTCGTCACGCGCGTAATCGGAAACTACATTTCGCGTCTTTCGCGCGTTTGGGTCAGCGCAGCGAACACAGAAATCACGGAGTTGCGTTTGAATAATTATTTTTAATATATATGTAGTATACCAACCCACTAAATTACAAAACTTTTTTTTTTATTACAAAAAGCGCCATTTCGAAAAATTTTCAGGGATTATGTTTTTTTTATGATACCAGGCAACGGGACGAACAAGTCGTGCGCTTGGTGATAAGCGAAGCGCCTACGCATAAGAATTGCAGTGCCGTTCAAAGTTTGTAATTGCAAAGATTTAGGGGCACTGCCACTGCGCCCGTCACCCTGAGACATAAGTTGACAAGTCCCATGTGCCCGTAATTTCACTAGCGCCCTTACCCTTCTAAGCTGGAACACAGTAATGCTCACATTACTGCTTGGTGGCAGAAATAGGCAAGGTGGCAGTAATTCCCAAGACGAACTCTCACAAGAAGCCCTACTTCTATTGAAATAAATAGTCTTTAATACCAAGTGACGGGACGAACAAGTCGTGTGCCTGATGGTAAGCTACACGCCTGTCCATAACAGTTACAGTGCCACTCAGAGCTTTAATTAAGATCTGTGGGCCACTGCCACTGCGCCCGACACCCTGAGACATAAGTTGACAAGTTCCATGTGCCTGTAACTTCACGCCCGGTTTTCATTGTAAGGTGACGATAAATGAAAATGGGTTCGTACTACGGAACGCTCCAGCCCGCACTTTCTGACAACCTACCACTTCTGAAGCTTGTCTCCTTGTTCCAGCATGATACTCTGTGTATACTGCACTTGTACTTACAAGGTATAACTTTCTGGTTCTGGTTTTTGTGAAGATTGGTCTTCTTGGTCGCGTGCCGACACGCGTGTGTCTCCACCTTTACTGCCGTCTGAGGACAAAGCAATATTTTAATGCAATGAATTTGAACGTATTTAGTGCACTAACACAAACAAAAAATTTTTTTTTTAAAACCACACAAATTATAATAATAATAATATTAATAATCATAATAATAGCCTTTGTTGCTGATACAATTCAATTCAAATATTACAGTATACTTTGTTATTACAAAATACAATTCATTAATAAAAAATTATTAAAAATATAAAAATATCTTAAACCTAGATTAATACTAAAGATAATAGACAAATTTTCAATTAAAATTAATACTTAAATAGTTTCCATATTAACAATTTAAAACATTTTCCTATAATTAAATTACATCCACATCAGCTTGTCTTTCGACATAGGCCTCCTCCAGAAACTTTCAGTTTTCCCTGTCCCGTGCCTGTCGCTGCCAAAATGGGCCTGCCACCAATTTTAAGTCATCTTGCCATCTTTTTCTCTGCCTTCGTTTGACTTCTCTTGGGTACCGCTCTGTTACCTCTCTGGTCCATTTTCCAGTCTCCGTCATGGTATGTCCAGCCCAATGATATATATGATCTGCCCAAGGTACATGTATTGCTCTACATCTTCAACAGGTTTATCATTTACTTTTATTATTGACTTGTTTCCATTCATTATGAGTTTTGTTTTTGCGACGTTCATTGGTAGACCCACTACGGCGCTCTCTTGTGTAAGTTGTTGTAGCATCAATTCCAATGTATCTGGATTGTCCGTAAACAAGATGAGGTCGTCGGCAAAACGGAGGTGATTCAATCTTGTACCATTGATATTTAGCCCAAGGTGGTCCCAGTCTAGGCATCGGAAGACTTTTTCGAGTACCGCTGCAAACAGTTTTGGAGATAAGGGGTCTCCTTGTCTTACTCCTTTCTCTATCGGAAATTCCTCACCGTTTTTTTCTAACTTAATTTTTGCCAAGCTGTTTCTATAAATTCAAAAAATTTGTATCATTCGAATATACTTTTGATGTACACCTTGTTGTTCGAGTGCTACCCATAAGTGTTTGTGTTTTATGCTGTTAAATGCCTTACTGTAGTCCACAAATCCCAGATAGTTGTTGTGTTGAGAAATTTCCTCTGAATCCAGCTTGCTGTCTAGGGTGGTTCTCATCTAACGTTTTTGTTATTCTATTTAGTATAACTTTCGAAAAAACTTTGTACATATTGGATATTATGCCATTGGTCGATAGTTCCCAATTTCGTTTCACTCTCCTTTCTTATGTAACTACGTTATTGTTGATACCATCCACTGTCTAGGTACGTATTCGTTATCTAAAAGTTCGTTGAAAATACACGTGGGCGGGCCAAGTACTATGGTTTCAGTTTCCTTCAGAAGTTCGTTGGTGATCATATCCTCACCTGCTGCTTTATTGTCTTTCTGTGTCATAATGGCTTTTTTTACCTCACTACTAATAATATGTCGACTAGGTTCTTCATTTTCATGTGCTCTGTTTGGCTCAAAATCATCAGGAATATTGTCCGCAACTCCCACTACGTGGTATAGGTCTTTGTAAAAATCTGTGGCAATTTGCAGGATAGTTTGTCTTTTTGTTGTTGAAACTCCTAGTTGGTTTTTTATATTCGGTATCCAGTTGGTAGTATCTCTTAATTCCCTTTGTGCTCTTCTTATTCCCCTCGTTTTCATTATATGGTCTAATAGAATATTTGTTCTTGTTTGTTTTTTATGTCTCCTGATGCTCGTATTTATTTCTTTACTTAGTTTTGTTACTGCTTTACGATTTTCCTTCTGATTTATAAGTAACTTTTTTCTTATTTTTAAGAGATTTCTTGCTTGTTCGCCAACTTTGTCAAAATCTTTTAATCGTAATGAAAACATTCCATTTAGTTTCTGCATTTTTTTTTCCAGTGTGTTATATTTTTCCTGTAGTGTTGCAATTCTTGTTGCATTGATTTTCATGTGAATAGTTTCCTTGTGCTCGACTAATAGTTCTTCTGGTATTTTCTGACTGCGATATGAAGGTTGCGTGCACCTTTTCACGTTTTTAGTTTCTGTGCATGCTAAAGTACCCCTTACCGGTCGGTGTTCTATACTAAAGTTCAGTGTATTGCTTAAATCGACATCTTCCATTGATTTAGGCTTGTTGGTAAGAATAAAGTCTATTTCGTTTAGTGTTTTTCCGTCGGGAGATCTACAAGTCCATTTCCTATATGGGTTCTTTTTAAATTTGCTGTTAGTAATGGTCAGCTTGTTCTCGAGTGCAAAGTTAATTAGTCTTTCTCCGTTAACGTTTCTCTTTCCGGTACTATATTAACCTCTGATTGTTTCTTCGTTATGTAACATGTTACCTGTCTGTTGAAGTCTCCCATGACAATTTTGCTCTTGTGTGTGTCTACTAACGCTGAAGTTAAGTCGATGTAAAATTTATCTTTATCCTCGGCTGTAGTCAGTTCATGTGGTGCATAAATTTGGATTATAGACCATTTCTCTTTATACCCTGGTAATCGAATGTTAAGTACGGCTATAATGTCTGATTTTCCTTTGAACTCCTCAATTTCTTTCTTTAAGTGTAGTTTTACTAAGAAGCCTATCCCGTTCCTGCGACTTGTCTCTCCTTTGTAATACATAACGTATTTTTAGGGATTTCTAGAATTTCCTCCCCTTTCCTGCGAACCTAATTCCCAATATGTGCCATTTTATGTTCTCCAGAGCTTGATCCAGTTCCATTTGTCTTTCATGCGATTGTAATGTTCACATATTTAGGGTGATTATAAATATTTTGTCTCTTAAAGGGTGGTGGCTTCCGGTTACAGACTTTCTAATTTCCGTGTATGTATTTTTATTTGTTTATCTGGAGGGTGGTGGTCTAATGTCTCACGGGGAGCAACCGGGTTGGGACATGTGCTCTTTGTTGTGTTTGTGTGAAAACCACACAAATTACAAAGTTACAAACTGGGAAATTCACTGTACTATGAGTACCAGAGCAACGGAATTCCTTCTAGCGTACTAACCAGAATACCCAGACCCAAATAGATCTTACCGGGAAGTGAATCCGGGTCCTCATCATTCAGCGCCGAGATGGCTAACCGTTGGGTGACTGAACTGAATAAAAAAGTTGTTTTCTCAAACATGTTCGGAAATTTTTGCATCACTTTCAATAAAGGAACGCGGAAAGTTTGTCATTTATGAACCATGCTACTTTGTCCCGATCAAGGCCCGCAAAGTAACTATGAAAATTCATTACTGTCCACTTCTCTAAACCTTTAAATCTACCTACTAATAATGAACTATGTAAACAGGCAAAACAAAAACTCATACCGCCAAGTGCCCAGTGTTCATAGAAGCGAGAATTAAAAATACCTACCCGTACAGTTTACTCAAAAAAAAGAAAAGAAAATGGAGGTAACATTTAAAGTAAAGTTCTTTTGTTTTTTCCTCTTTGTTGAATTTCGGTCTCGAAAATGAGTGCTAAAGAGAAGAGCAATAACGAAAATACAGTAATAAATACACATGTAAACACATAATCAGAATTTCAGCAGACTACTTTTAGTGAGTCTGGAAAACAAATACATTTTCTTTTAGCAATTTTCCTAACACGCCAAATATACCTTTTAATTATTTTTAATTTTTCTGTTATACATCTTTCTCTCTATAGTATTTTATTATTTCCTCACAATGTTTGAGAAAAGCATTACATATGCCTCGACGGGAACGGGGATTGCTTCAGCAATCCTTTACTTTCCGGCTTCTGCAATAATGTATTAATAAAGTTGGGTCAATCGAACACTCATTCCCGTTGACTTACTTATTCCCCATTTTTTTGGAACTGACAATTTTTCTTGCTTAAAGTTGTTCGTTATCTACAGCTGTACAGCGCTCGGTCCTCTTTGTTACTTTTAAAATTAATATGCAATTCATAATTGCCTCGTGTAATATTGTGATAACGTGTTCCTATTGTTCGTTATGCTTAAAATCATATTCATTGTTACGTCAGCTTAAAAATAAACTGAGAGTTTAAAATGTTAAAACCTTGTACAATGACTGTGAGGTGCACTCTTGATTGAAAGCGCTTTTGTTTAAAAAACATATTGTTCAGATTTTTTAAACCTCGAATGCTGTTAATTTGATAATCTTTCGGACTGTTATTTTCACCACACCTTATCTATTTCGACCGTCAAGCAGTAATGTGAGCGTTACTGTGTTTCGGGATTTGAAGGGTTAAGGGTGCTGGTGAAATTTATGCCTATAGCAAATGGGACTTGTCAACTTGTCTCAGGGTGACAGGCGCAGTGGCAGTGCCCCTCAAATCTTTGCGGTTTAAAGCTCTGAGTGGCAACTGTCATGGATAAGCGTGGCGCTAAGTAATAATAATGTATTTTTTTATAAAAGAAATGTGACCTAAAAAGTTCGTGGAATTACATCTATTTGCCAAGTTTTTTTTGACGTCGATAACCGGAAAGCGGAGCTGCATTTATCCCCCAGTTTGCCACCCTTAGAGGTGGAATACTTTCTTCAAATTTAAATGGGACCAATACTGAGATTTCCTCTTTCTAACAAAGAAAAAAATCATCAAAATCGGTTCACAAATATGTTATCGCGTAACAAAAAAATACAGTCGAATTGCGAATCTAATTTTTTTTGAAGTTGGTTATAAAACATTATTATGTTTTTGTATATTATATTTATGTGTAAAACTGACTCCGTGGCCGAACGGTTACCATGCCGGACTGCCACGCAGAGGTCCCAGGTTCGATTCCCGGGCCGGGAAAAATATTTGTATGGCCTACATTTATTCGTCTCGTGAGTTTGGGTGTAATTTATGGTTGTCTATGTGTGTGTCCATGGCACCCGCGACACAGGGTGTTCCTAGTGTGGGGCTATGTTGAGTGTCTCCGTATATATATCATACATATATTTATGTTCCCATTTAGATGGTAGAGCTAATAATCTCAGTTTTAATGAGTAAATTATTGGGCTCGCGGCTCCATTACTATGTACTATGTAGGTTGCCATTGTAAGCATTTCAAT